GACATGCTCTAGTTCCTTTTTCTACCCATACTCTTTTCTTTTTAGATTTACTCTTTTTCAAAGGAACTCTTTGATTTACATTATTTTGAGCAATTACCATTTCATGCTTCTTAAGATCATCAATTTCTTTTTCGGCTTTGTCAAGCAAATGGTTAAGAATATCTATGTCATATTCATGCTCTTTACAATTTGCACAAGCTAAGTCCTTATTCTCATCTAAGCATACAATTTTCGTATTAGCTACCTCCTTTTCTTCTAAACATGCAATTTTCAATTTTAAGGACTCATTTTCCTTTTCGGATCTTCTTAGATTTTTCTTTACAACTTTATATTCTTTTTTCATATCCATAAATGCAGTAAATAACTCATTATAAGCATTTTGCAATTCATCATGGTCATTTTCTTCACTAGAGGATGAATCGGAATCACTAACCTCAAAATCCGAAGAAATGTTGTTATTTGCCATCAAGCAAATGTTTGCTTCAATTTCTGAGTCGCTTGATTTTGAATTTGAATCACTCGTCATCCCAAGCAATATATGCTTTCTTCTTGAATTGCTTTTTGCCCTTGTGTTCATCATTTTTCTTGTTTGGGCATTCGGTCTTCATATGCCCTCGCTTCACCACAACCAAAGCATTTTATATTAACGGAAGAATTTTCTTTTACCTTTCCCTTACCTTTGAAAGGATGTCTTCCTTTTGCTTTCATCATCTTGGTGTACTTCTTTATAAAAAGACTCATCTCTTCTTCATCAATTTCGGAGTCTTCTTCTTCTTCTTTCTTATTTTTGCTTTTTGAAATCTCGGTCTTGAAAGCTAGGTTCTTCTTTTGATATTGACCCTCTTCCTCATTTAGTCTTCCAAGGTCAAGTTCATGCTCCCTAAGCTTTCCAAATAACGCCGCCATAGACATAGTGGCAAGATTTTGTGACTCCGAGATGGCCGTCACCTTTGGTTGCCATTTCCTATCCAGAGATTTCAAAATTTTAACATTTAATTCATCAACATCAAAAATTTTACCTAGTCCGGTGAGATGGTTCACGATATGAGTGAAACGTTTCGTACGTCAAATATCGTTTCGCCTGGTTGCATCCGAACATCTCGTATTCTTGGATTAAAGAATTTTTACGTGCTCTTTTGACGTTGTCGGTTCCTTCGTGGGTCACCCTTAGCATTTCCCACATTTCCTGTGCACTTTTACAAACTGAAATTCTATAAAACTCATCAAGGGTTAGAGCGAGATGAAATAATGTTTCTAGCCCTAACATCAAATTGTGCTTTTCGACTTTCTTCTCGCAGTCCATCTAGAAATAGGTTTAAGAACGTCAACACCGTTCTCCGTAATTTTAGGAACAAATGGACCGTTTAAAATTGCGTCCCAAACGCCTCTATCAACGAGACTCTAAAAATATTTGCATACGTACCTTCCAAAAAGGATAATTTTGACCCGCAAAAAGTGGGGTCTGTTGATAGACGCACCTTCGGCAAAAGTTTGATTTTGTCCGGCCATTTTCAAAAATATTTGAATGACTATCAAAACAAGCTCGATACCACTTGTTAGAATCGCGCAGCGAATGTTCGCGTGGTCGGACAAAAACCAAGAGGGGGGTGAATTGGATTTTTAATAAAAATTAGGTTTTCAAAATTTTCCCTAAATTTTACCGATTAAAAACTGCGTAAATGTAAATAGAGAAGAGTAGAGAAGATTACACAGTGAGGTTTATACTGGTTCGGATCAAAAGACCCTACGTCCGAGTTGCTAATCACTCAAAAGAGGATTAACGCCTGTCACTAAGAACAAATTGTTACAAACAGATTACAAATGAACGAGATAAAGATCGGAAAACACCTCTCTTGAAATCCACAAGAGATGAAGAACGACTTTCCCTAGAGACGGCACAACACACAATCCACTAAGAACTCCACTTAGTGATTCTTATCGCTTCTAGCCTCACACCAGGTTCCAAAAGCCCCTTTCCTTGCAACAAACAGTTCTCGGCACTCACAACACTTAACTTTTGTATGGAAAGAGTTGTTCATTTTTTCTCGAGTGCCAAAGCAGAGTTTAAGTAGGGAAATTAGGGTTTAGGAATTGGGGATTTCGAAACTAGGGTTCTTGGTAATTGGGTTTTCGAAAATAGGGTTAATTTGAAATTTAAAATGAAAAACAGATCGAAATAATTGATTATTTGGAGTGATAATCGATTAAAACAGAGCCAAATACGTCGAACCCAAACCTCTCTGGATTAATCGATTATTTGGTGAAATAATCGATTATCTCGTACGGATCAAGTACAAAACAATCGATTATTTTGCTCGTTTTAATCGATTAAAACAGTTGAGTTTGTATAGAAAGTGTTTTCTCATCTGTTTTAATCGATTATTTACCTATATAATCGATTAAAGCCGAGCCTAAATGATAAATTTGAGCTTTTTGAAGCTTCTAAGTTACGGATCTATGTATCAGCTATCTTAGACTCTAAAAATACAGACTCAATCTTAAATAAAACAGAGTTATTACAATACAATTATCACCAATCTTCAATCTTCAATATTCTAAGTCTTTAGTTCTTGGATCATCATCAAAATCCATTCTTCATATTCATCAAGTGCAACATCAAGTCCTTGAATTGTCAACACAATTGCCCTAATATCCGTCATGAAATACACTTTCTATGTCGGTTAAAATAAAATCGACATAGAAAGTGAATGGAAAGCCCAATTTCTATGTCGATTAACATACAACCGACATAGAAAGTGAACTTTCCCACTTACCATGTCGGTTACTCTATAACCGACATAAAAAATTCATAATTTTATTACAAAAATGCCACCACCCTACATACTATGACGGGTGGACTGCGACCGTGACAAAAAGTCGTCATAGAATCCTATTTTTCCACTAGTCATATTAAACCTCTAGTTGAAATAAAAGATAAGTTGATTTTGTATCGTCGTAAACAAAATCCAATATGTATAACTAAACCCTCATTAACAATAAGAAAATGTGTATAATGAATGACTCATTTTAAGTATTTAAACACTTTTTCTAATGTAATCCAATGAACATATTATAAGTATATCTTAACCTATATGCCATAGTAGGTTTACAAAAATTTGTTAAATATAATTAGAGATCAATAAGATGAGAATATTTATACGAAGAAATCTCTTCATTAATATTTTTCTTTAATTTAATAAATTAGTAATATGATATTAAAATTAGTTTCACATCAAAATAATTGAATTTCTTTAAAAAAAACAATCTACATGATATGTAATATAATGTTAAAATTGATTTTATATATGCGTGATTGAGTTAAAATAATGTAATTGTATTTTTTTATAACCTTAATACTCAAATTTACATCCATAAGACTAATATTTTTCATGTCAAAATTATTAAATAAAATAGTTTTCAATTTTTTATTTGTTCCTAAATATTATTATATCATTTACGTATAAATATTAAAAATAATACAAGTATTATAATAATAATAATAATAATAATAATAATAATTTTTATTATTATTATTATTTTATAATTATTATTATTATCATTATTTTACATACAAACATTTATCACTACCATTGATAAGAAAACCATATAAAAGAATAATTTGATCAAATTTTTCGTGTTATTATTTTGGTGCATGTTTTAAACCATGTAAAAACTTAACAAGTTTTCTTTTATTTTCCTAAATTTATAAAATCCTGATGTTGATTGATATAGATTTTCTCTTCTAAATGACCATTTAATAAAGCATTTTAATATCAATATAGTAAATTTCTAAATTAAAAATACAAATAAAAACTAATATTAGAATAATGTGATGTTTTATCGTGGGCAACAAAGTGTATTGTATTTTGGACAAGTTCCTAATGGCTCTGCACCTCTTATGCTTTGTTGTCGTCACATAAAGGTAGTTTGATTCGTTTTATATGAAATTTGTGGGTGAAATCTCCTTAAAGACCGAAATCGAGAGGGCTTAATACGAATATTCACCAGCGAATTGCCGAATAAACTACAAACTTTTTAGTACAACCTACCAAAATTTGGATTAACAACTAAACCCACCAATATCTTTTATACATAAATTTTGTATATATATATATATATATATATATATATATATATATATATATATATATATATATATATATATTATATTTAAATATTTATTTATTAATTAATATTTTTATTAAATAAAATAATAAAATTACTATATATATATATTAAAATACCTAATTATAATTAATAATTTAAATCTAATTAATTAATATTTATTATTTAAATTATAATATATTTACTATTCTAATAATAACCAAAAAATAATAATTTTAAAAACAAATAAACGGGTCAACACACTCATCAGTTTATATAATTACAGAGAATAAGTAAAAATAAACTATGTGAGTAATACTACTAACTTATCCCGCAATTGGAGATGAATGATGGACCAAATACTCCTTCATTTTTCGCTAAGGCTTTTTTTCAGTGGTCCGAGAATACTTTTATAAATCTAATAACTACCTGCTTTCATCCCCGTGAAATAAATCAATTCAAACTTCGAGAAAGAGACTATTGATTCAAACGTTATGAACATTTATATAACGGGAAAAAAATATTTCTATATGATGCAATATATATAGATATATACTAATCAACGGTATTCTCTCACTAAGTCATCCATCCCCATGTTGAGGGGGAGATGACACTAACATCTCTTCCACTTTATATCCATGCCCCATTCGTTATAAACCCAACCTCCACAAGTTAATCACATCTTTCGCTAATTAGCTAAATAAAATAATGCACTCTCTCATGCTATTTGCCTGCTAATGAGGGTTTGCTTTTCTGCAACTACAGAAGAAATACAGTACAAAATATGTATTTTATGAACAATGACAGGTATACAGATCAGAAAACTTGGTTGGCAGGATATCAAGCGATGATGAGAAATCCCCAATGTGTTGTATTTATTCATGTCATGATTTGTATCATATATATGCTAGTGAACCACGGTCAAGGTCAGGCTGAGGTCGACCCCGAGTAGGAGTAGGTGGCCTCTGAATATTAAGCTCCTGACAAATAATTATGCACCGAAATATGAGAATTACCATTCAAGAAACTCACTTCAGTAAATGTTAAATACAGTATAGAGAGAAAAAAATACTGCATATGGGCTCACCTGCATCCATGTCTCATCCATACCACGCTCAGGAGATGTCTCAGGAGACAGAAGGGGAGGTGGTAAAGGATGAATTAACTTAGGAACCACAACCAAACCCCTGCCAACTACCAGAATAGCTCCCGCATTGTTCGCAGTTCCTAAATAACACACACCATTAAGATAGAAATGCTGTAAAATGCAAACTAAAACGTTCCTGAGAAATTATCCTTACCACAATAATTAGTTGCAGAAAAAAGGGTGATTAATTGTCCCTGGGCAAATCGTTCAAAACCATCCATGACACACTCATGGGCCCTTATAATGAGCTGTAATTTATTTTTCTTACAAAAGTCTGTGACACGATCAGGCTGCATAAAATAAGAAAATAGGTCAGCTTCCCATTTAAACAGCAAGAACTTTGAGGCATGCCCACTATTGTTTAATATTCCATCGTATAAAATATTATAAGTAAAAAGATATGATTTTTGAATTGGGCTCAAAACGACTGTTAATATTTCATAATCGTATTGTATATTAAATGAAATCTTAATTACTAAATTCTAACTCCTTCCCCTTTTTTGGTGTTGAAAAACTGCCGAAATTTGTCGCTTCACATTTTCATTTTTCCTTCTTGGTACTCAAAAATGGTCTTGATCTATATCACAACACAAACCATGGATGAGGAGGAAGGATTAGTAGAACTTAGAAAACTGTTTTTTCCTTTCTAGCAAGGCAGTCAGCCTACTCTGAGCTAACTAATACCTTTAGGTCATGTAAAGGAAAAATAACACATGACATGCCTCAAAAATTGCTCCTAAGAGAATCTTTTTCAAGTCAACAAGGGACCAATACAACTAAAGTTCTACCTAATTACAAAAGAAATTGTCAGAGAAAAGAGGGAAAGTGCAGTTACAGGATGACAAGATATCCATCCTCCAAAAGGTTGGGAAGGATTAGAGAACATAATAGGATTCATGAGTAAGACAATGAGAGCTCACTTAGGGATTAAAATAACCATGACCCAAAAATTCTAGTAGAGGCAATAGACCAGTCCTATTTCAACTATGAATCAGATTTTAAAGGATGAAAAAGAGAGACTACTATTTGATTTTGAAAGGCAACATTATAATTAGTTTCCAGAGATGTAACAAGGCTAGGGCTACGTAATCAAATTGTAGAAATTGAAATTCATAGGAATAACGTACAAATTGCAACAGTTTATTGATTTTTGACAGATATAAATGGGAACGGGGAAGGGGAGATGAAACAATGGTTCTTCCAACACCGGATGTGGATGACAAACAATAATAAGATAAATCATCACAGTGAAAGATAGCGTACTTACACCAAAAGTGACAAGCCCTGGGCCTCTAGCATTTGGTCTCAAACCCTCTACACTGTCATTTTCTGTGGGATCAGACCTACAAAAACCCATAGAAGTTGTAACAAAAAGGAACCAAAAACAAGGTGATCCAATGCACAACTCTCCCACCAAGTGGGTTTGGGGAGGGTAAATGTTCCCAATCTTACAACACCTCATCCCCGCCTGACGGAGAAGAGATTGCTTTGAACATTTAATCACATAGCCTCCAGGTCATAAAATAGCAACCTTCTTGTTGCATTAAGGATCTCGCCCTCAAAGAAAAAAAACAGGGAGAGGGATGCAAACATAACAAGAAGCCACATCACAAAAAAATAGATTGATAAACAAAGAAGAGGTACCATAGAAGGTCCATTAAAATAATAGATCCTGCATCCATTGTTATGGGTCTTTCAAGCTTCTCTATCTGTTCTACTGAATTGATAGATCTTCCAATACCACCATGCATACAGATAATTTTCTTTTCAATAAGAGCAGCTAACGGAAGATAGTTAAAAAGTTGATTGAATCGTGTCCATGCCCATATACCATCATTTTCACCCTACAAGCACATAGTTAGTTGTAGAGTTGAATCCAAAAATTGAATGAATACAAGTTGTTTCTGTCTCTACCATTCTTTCAATGCACTCAATACGAAAACCAAACAATGCATTTATGTCAGCAGCTTCATGATTTCCTCGTATCAAGTGAACATTCTCAGGATATTCAATCTACATAAACAGAATAATGCCAGTACAAGGTCAATTATAAACACAGAAAACCAAATCCAACAATACCAGACAAACAATGTAAAAACTATATTGTAGCCTGCCTTAAGAGCAAGTAGCAAGGTAATGGTTTCCAAGCTGTGCTGTCCTCGATCAACATAATCTCCCAAAAACAGGTAGTCAATATAACTGAAACATACAGCACATATTAACTCCAAACCATCAGTTGGCACATTTAACTTCAAACCACAACAAATTGAATGTGAACATTTCTAGACACGGTTTCTGGACTGGAAACAATTTTAAACAAATTGAAAAGTTAATTAAATACAATAAACCATTGAGAATAAATGAAATCCACAAGCTAAGACAGACAGCACAAGCTTGACGCTCTCACTTAGTGAGTGGGGCCAAGAGTCAAAATGTAGACAATCTTGCCCCAGCAAGCAGAAAATCTGTTGCCAATATTTAAAACTGTGACCTCCAGATCATTAAGAAGCAACCTTACTCTGGAAAATTAGATTAACTGAAATATGATATTTTTATTATATCAATACAAAGAGATGATATAAGATATATACAGGAGACCTAAACTATTTTAGGAAATATAATAATTCTATTTTATGCTAGGATCCCTTGATTTATGGGATTGTTCCTAATTATTCAAATTTGTACAGATTACAAGGAAATATACAAATTTCTTGATTTATTCTTTCCTAAAATACTATTTGATTTCCCACACTCCCCCTCAAGCTGGTGAATAGATGTTTTCCATTCCCAGCTTGGATACAATCTTCTCAAAATTATGGCAGCCCAGTCCCTTGGTAAGAATGTCTGCAATTTGGTCTTGAGAGGACAATATGGAGTGCATATCAAGTCACTATCAAGCTTTTCTTTGATGAAGTGTCTGTCTACTTCTATATGCTTTGTTCTATCATGCTGCACTAGGTTGTGGGCTATACTGATTGCTGACTTATTATCACAATAGAGTTTCATAGGTTCTTCCCACTTTATCCTCAAGTCTTCTAAGATGATTTTAAGCCATAGCAACTCACATATACCTTGTGTCATGGCTCGGAATTCTGCTTCAGCACTGGACCGAGCCACTACACCCTGTTTTTTGCTTCTCCAAGTCACAAGATTTCCTCCAAGAAAGGTGCAATATCCTGTAGTTGACCTCCTATCCACAATTGACCCTGCATAATCAGCATCAGTATAGGCTTCAAGCATCACATTACCATTCCTTTTGAATAGAATCCCTCTTCCTGGAGTTCCTTTAAGGTATTGTAAAATTCTGTGGGCAGCTTGTAAATGGGTCTCCTTTGGGCTATGCATAAATTGGCTAATTAAACTCATTGCATAGGCAATATCTGGCCTGGTATGCGACAAATATATAAGTCTGCCCACTAATCTTTGGTACATATCTTTTTCAACAGCAACATCTTCTGCATTTCCAAGCTTTAGGTCTGGAAAATTAGATTAACTGAAATATGATTTCGTTTAGGTTCAAATGTCAAGTCTGGAAGAATGAGAAAACCAGAATTACTACTTTCCTTATCTTCCTTATCTTCCCTGAAACTCTCCCCCTAAAGATAAGGTTGATGGAAATAGCCCTCTTGTTCATTGAAGGTAACATCCCTAGACACAAAGAATTTTTTGGATGGGGGTGGTAGCATTTATCCCCTTTTTGAGTGGGTGAGTAACCAATAAAGACACACTTTAAGGCTCTAGGATCAAGTTTCCCCCTGTCTGTACTATGAATATGGACATATGAGATGCACCCAAACACTCTTGATTTAAGATTATTTGTAGTAGACAAGTTTGGATAGAAAGACGACAAAGCTTCCATAGGGTTTTTTGATCCTAAGACTCTAGAGGGTAGTCTATTGATAAGGTATGTTGCTGTAAGGACAGCTTCCCCCCAGAAATTTTTTGGGACACTTTTTTGGAACAACAATGCCCGAGTCTGATTTAATAGATGTCCATTTTTCCTCTCTGCAACCCCATTCTGTTGTGGTGTTTTGACACAAGAGAACTCATGAATTATACCTTCTTTTTGACAAAAAGAATTAAGGACATGATTGAAGTAATCTTTGGTATTATCTGACCTAAGCCTCTTAATATTAACACCAAACTGATTTTTTATCATGGAGTGGAAGTTTAGGAAGACAGAACTGACTTCTGATTTTTGTTTAAGTAGGAAAACCCAAGTGACCCTTGTATAGTCATCTATAAAGGTGATAAACCATCGAGTACCAGACACATTTGGAATATTAGAAGGTCCCCATACATCAGTATAAACAAGATAAAAAGGGAAATTGCTAATTCTATTACTTATTGGGAAAGATATACGCTTGTGTTTAGCAAGTTCACACACCTCACAATGAAGACTTTCAACATCTAACTTGGTAAACAGAGAGGGAAACATAATTTTGATCACTCCAAAAGAGGGATGTCCCAACCGACAATGATAAAGCATGATTTTTTCTCTGTTGGTCATCAAGGATTCAGATATGAAGGAGTGAAAGATTCTATTTTTGCTGGGCAGACTTGGATCTTTGAGATAATAAAAGTCATTCCATTCTCTAGCATGTCCAATCATCCTCCCCGAATCCTTGTCCTGAAATACACAATGATCGTTGAAAAAAACAACTTTACATGACAAATCCTTTATAAGTTTTTGTATAGACACTAGGTTCATGGACAGCTTTGGGACATGGAGAACATCTTTTAAGGTTATTAAAGGATTGATTTGGATATTTCTTTGACCAGCTGCAGTTATAAGGGTTCCATCTGCTGTGTCCATTTTCTTGTTGCTGGGACATGGAGAATATGTGGAGAAGTGTTTGGCTAATGGTGTCATGTGATCTGTGGCTCCAGAGTCCAATATCCAATAATGGTTAAAAGGCGTATCTGAGACATTTAATCCAAAAGAAGGTGGAAACTTACCTGAGTATGCCAAAGAACACATACCTGTAGGTTTTTCCAGCTTACTAAGAACGGTTTTCATCCTTTCTATCTCCTCTTCCCTTGACATTATAGAAAAAAAGGTGCGATGCAACAGCAATGCAGGCTGTCGTCTTAGGATTAAAAAAAATGTGGCAGCAATGCAGGTTGTCGTCTTAGGGTTAAGAAAAAATGCAACAGCAATGCAGGCTGTCGTCTTAGGATTAAGAAAAATCCAGCAGCAATGCAGGCTGCCGTCTTAGGGTTAAGAAATATGCAGCAGCAATGTAGGCTGCCGTCTTAGGATTTATCGCGCGCAGACAGAGCTTCCTAGATCGGAAGCTCTGATACCATCTGGAAAATTAGATTAACTGAAATATGATATTTTTATTATATCAATACAAAGAGATGATATAAGATCTATACAGGAGACCTAAACTATTTTAGGAAATATAATAACTCTATTTTATGCTAGGATCCCTTGATTTATGGGATTGTTCCTAATTATTCAAATCTGTACAGATTACAAGGAAATATACAAATTTCCTGATTTATTCTTTCCTAAAATACTATTTGATTTCCCACATTTACCAACACACCTTTGGCAGGACGGGCTAGCCCTTCCTGACTATGGCAGGCCAACCCCTCTCGTCCCATTTTTGGTGGACCAGAGGTGGGTTATGCTAAAACGAGACATACTAACCTGTTTTGTCATCCTTACCCAAGTAGCAAAGGATAGGTATATTTTTACAGAGTTAATTATTCTTCAACTGATTTCAAAAGAATGAACTACCAATACCAAGTGCAGAATAATAAACCTTAAGACCTCAACTGTAGCTAACATATAAACTGTATGATGTTTATGCGTACTAACAAATACTCTTTTAAAAAAGAATGTGGCGATGTGCTTGCCAAGGATAATCCATTATTTAAAACTTTAAGAATATGGATGATTGACCTTTCATAATAAGTTAGTTTGTGATCAGAAAGATGGAACTAAGTTCCAATGACTATAAAGTGATACAAAGATCAAGGATTACATGATAGATATCACAGGAAGTGGGGCAGAGAAGAGTTGATTGATACTATATCTATACATTGTATTCTGTTACTCTTTTGAGGAGTACCTTTCTTTATTATAAATACACTGCCCTATGTGTGGTAAATACACAAGGGAAATTAACCCTATACAGTTTTTTCCTATATTCAACATGGTATCAGAGCTTAAGGTCTCTTGGGATTTTTTTCGGCTCTGCCACTGAACCTGCAGCTGTCGCCGCCTCCATCGCCGCCGCCGCCGCCGGAGTAGCAGTTCGGACCGCCGAGCACAGGGTTTTGCTCGCCTCCTCCGTGCGACCTCCATCGTGGAAGTTTCGCGGTCATCGGAGCAGCCACGCTCCCTCACGCGCCTCCCGAAGCCGCGCCACCTTCTCCCGTTCCGCCGCGCGTGGCGGCGCGTCTCGCCGCCGCTCTTTGCGCCGGCGTCGCCTCCTTCTCCTCTCTCCGGATCTGTCCTCGCTGCTCCAATCGGACCTCTTTGGTGTTTTAGGGTTTTTCTCTCTCTTCCTCCATGGCATCTTCCGCTGCCACTTCCAATTCTGAAGTTACCTCTGTCAGCTCCGGTGGGTCTGAGCAATCTGTTTTTAATGATTCATCTGCCTTGGCCTCTCACCGTGATGATCGTAATCGCTCTCACAAGCCAAGCAAAGGGCGTGTCAAGTGTGACCATTGTGGCAAACTAGGCCACAAAATTGACAAATGTTATGCTTTACATGGTTATCCTCGCCGATCTGCTGCAGTTGCTCAGACTGATTCTTCCGCACAATCCTCTGTTGTGGATCCTCCTTCGTCTGTACCTTAAGACAAATCTGCTATCTTCAATGATTTTCTTCAATGGTATGAGGATCGAAAGCCCTCCGGTTCCACTTACTTCGTTGCCCACACGGTATATCTTTTCGTTGGTCGACTCACTCTTCTTCTATTGGCTCTTGGGTTCTTGACTCGGGCGCCACCGATCACATCACTGGTAACAAATCCTTATTTTCCTCTTTCACTTCTTCTCATAATTTACCCTCTGTTACAATGGCTAATGGGTCTACAACTTTAGCTCATGGTGTTGGAACGGTTACTCTTTTTCCCTCGTTGTCCATTGATAATGTTTTGTATGTACCCGGGTCCCCCTTTAACTTATTATCCATTAGCCGTCTAACTCGATCTCTTGATTGTGTTATCTCTTTTACCAAAACTTATGTTTCCTTACGGGACCGGAGCTCGCAAAAAGTGATTGGCACCGGATGTGAGTCACATGGACTTTATTATCTTCAACCTTCTCCACATGTTGGCACGGTTATGGAGTCTCCTTCTCTCCTTCATGCTCGGCTTGGTCACCCCGGTCTGCGCAAATTACGACAACTTGTTCCCGGCTTATCCCGGTTGTCCAGTTTGGTGTGTGAGTCCTGTCAATTAGGCAAACATAGTCGTACTTCCTTTTCTCGTAGTGTTTCCCAGCGTGCTTCATCCCCCTTTGCCTTAGTTCACTCGACATTTGGGGACCCGGTCGTGTTAAGTCTAATTTAGGTTTTCAATATTTTGTTACTTTCATTGATGATTTCTCTCGTTGTACTTGGTTATTTTTAATGAAAAATCGTTCGAAGTGTTTTCTATATTCCAAAACTTTTATCATGAAATTAAAAATCAATTTGGTGTCTCTATTCAAACTTTTCGAAGTGATAATGGCCGTGAATATCTTTCAAACTCGTTTAAACAATTTATGGCTTCTCATGGCATTCTTCATCAAACTTCACTGTGCTTATACCCCTCAACAAAATGGGGTGGCTGAGCGCAAGAATAGACACCTTATTGAAACAACCCGTACTCTTTTAATTCATGGTGCGGTTCCTCAACATTTTTGGGGTGATGCTTGTTCTTACTTGCTGTTATCTTATTAATCGTATGCCCTCTTCGGTTTTAGATAACAAAATTCCTCATTCTATTTTATTTCCTCATGACACTCTCCATCCTTTACCTCCGAAGGTTTTTGGGTCTACCTGTTTTGTCCACAATTTTGATCCTGGTCATGATAAGTTATCTCCTCGATCACACAAATGTGTTTTCTTAGGATTTACTCGATCCCAAAAAGGATACAAGTGTTTTTCTCCTTCTCTTAATCGCTATTTTGTGTCTGCCGATGTCACCTTCAATGAGTTTTCCTTTTACTTTAAGGACCCTTCCCTACCTGTCGAGTCTCCATCTGCTACTGTTCCCATTCCTGTTCTCATTGATCCTTATATTGAGGACCATCCACCATTAGCCCCTCCTCCTCCACCACCCCTTCGGGTTTATAGTCGCAGACCTCGCCCACAACAGACGCCACATGACTCACTCCCGGTGCCAAATACTCGCCTCCTCCGGTTCAGTCCACAGATTCGACCTTCCTATTGCCCTTCGTAAAGGTACGCGTTCTACTCGTAATCCTTCTCCACATTATACTGCTATTAGTTATCATCGAATTTCTTCACCATTTTATACATGTCTCTCGTCTATTTCTTACTGTGTCTATTCCTAAATCGTCTCTGAAGCCTTAGCCCACCCTGGTTGGCGTCGAGGCCATGCTAGATGAACTCGGTGCTCTTCGGACTAGTGGAACCTGGACGCTTGTCCCATTACCATCCGGAAAATCTGTTGTTGGTTGCAGGTGGGTCTTCGCTATCAAGGTTGGTCCTGATGGTACTATTGATCGCCTCAAAGCTCGCCTTGTAGCCAAAGGCTATACCCAAATTTTTGGGTTGGATTATGGTGATACTTTCTCTCCAAGTGGCAAAGATGGCTTCGTTCGTTTATTCATTGCCATGGCCACTATTCAACAATGGCCTCTTTATCAATCTGGATGTCAAAAATGCTTTCTTGAATGGCGATTTGCAAGAAGAGATTTATATGGAGCAACCTCCGGATTTGTTGCTCGGGGGAGTCTTCTGGATTGGTATGTCGTCTTCGCAAATCTTTATATGGCCTAAAACAGTCTCCTAGGGCCTGGTTTGGCAAATTTAGCGACGTTGTTCAACAATTTGGCATGACTAGAAGTGAGGCGAGACCACTCGGTCTTTTACCAGTCACTCGAATGCTTGGATGTATCTATTTGATAGTGTATGTCGATGACATTGTTCTTACAGGTAGTGACCATCATGGCATCTCTCGGATGAAACAACACCTTTGCCACCATTTTCAAACCAAAGATCTTGGCAAACTCGGATATTTCTTGGGTATTGAGGTAGCACAATCTACCGATGGCATTGTTATATCTCAAAGAAAGTATGCATTGGATATTTTGGAGGAAACTGGGTTGATGAATTCAAAGCACTGTTGACACACCCATGGATCCTAATACCAAACTCTTGCCAAATCGGGGGAGCCAATGTCGGATCCCGAACAGGTATAGAAGATTAGTTGGAAAATTAAATTATCTTACGAGTTACTCGCCACGACATTTCCTTTGCGGTCGAGTGTGGTGAGTCAATTCCTCAATTCTCCTTGTCAAGATCATTGGAATGCAGTCATCCGTATATTGAAGTACATCAAAAAGTCTCCTGGAAAAGGTTTGGTGTATGACTCCCATAATCATACAAGAGTTGTCTGCTATTCGGATGTCGATTGGGCGGGATCTCCCTCCGATAGAAGATCTACATCCGGGTATTGTGTTTCCATTGGTGGTAACTTGATCTCATGGAAAAGTAAGAAACAAAGTGTTGTGGCAAGATCCAGTGCAGAAGCGAGTATAGAGCTATGGCCTCGGCTACCTGTGAACTTATTTGGCTCAAGCAATTGCTTAAAGAGCTACAATTTGGAGATGTCACTCAAATGACACTAGTGTGTGACAATCGAGTCGCTCTCCATATAAGCTCTAATCCTGTCTTTCATGAGAGGACTAAACACATTGAGATTGACTGCCATTTTATTCGAGAAAAGATTATGTCTGGAGACATCAAGACTGAGTTCGTTAACTCATGTGATCAATTAGCAGATATTTTCACTAAGTCTTTACGGGGACCTAGGATGGATTATCTTTGTACCAAGCTAGGCACATACGATTTGTATGCTCCAGCTTGAGGGGGAGTGTTAGATATGATTAGATATTAGTTGATATTATTTGATATTGTTGAGATATTGTTAGATATTGTTAATCACAATATCAAATAATATCTTTTATTTACCCTATTTGTATTCTGTTACTCTTTTGAGGAGTACCTTTCTTTATTATAAATACACTGCCCTATGTGTGGTAAATACACAAGGGAAATTAACCCTATACAGTTTTTCCCTATATTCAACAAACCTTAAGACCTCAACTGTAGCTAACATATAAACTGTATGATGTTTATGCGTACTAACAAATACTCTTTTAAAAAAGAATGTGGCGATGTGCTTGCCAAGGATAATCCATTATTTAAAACTTTAAGAATATGGATGATTGACCTTTCATAATAAGTTAGTTTGTGATCAGAAAGATGGAACTAAGTTCCAATGACTGTAAAGTGATACAAAGATCAAGGATTACATGATAGATATCACAGGAAGTGGGGCAGAGAAGAGTTGATTGATACTATATCTATACATATGCTATTTTGATACATGAGCAATGTTAATCTTCCAATGTATACTTGTAAAACAAACTTACGTGATGTCTCCAGCGGTAGAAGGAAATCCATATTCATCAAATAGCCGCATCAAATCACCAAACTGACCATGAAGATCACCAAATACTTTGACGGGAGCTTTAAGCTGAAGAACAGTTGGTTCATGCATGAATATTTGCTCGGCAGCATAGCAAAGTTCACCCACTTCGTAAGAATCCAAGAAGAACCGCCTGTTTGCAGGAGCTTTCCAGTTGCGAGGCCTCAGCAAAGTTGAAATTATCTGGCAAGAAGATAATGGGAATAAGAAATTGTTTAATAGCAGTATAGTAATAAGTGGGTAGGCAGTTTATGTCAACCACTAATTATATAAACAAAGCAGAATAAAAAATCATATAATGCTTGCCTTTTTATGTAATCCCTGAGGAGATTTTTGCCTGGTGAACTTTTTCGTAGGATATGGCAAATCATTATTGACGGGAATCATGCGTCTGCTTTCATTTTCAAATTGATCTAGTGATAGTTGTCTCACCATTCCACCTAGGTTACCAACAGCCTCCTTGGCAACTACAACCTGTAATAAGATGTACATGATTTTGCATGCTTGAGAGGAACATGATCAGTTTTAAACAAGGATTCCTAGCACATACAGCTCTAGGATGAAGGCGAACATCTCCCTCTGTGTCACTTCCATCTGAAACGGTTTCTGCAGCTTGTGAGTTGTCATCTGACACAGATGTTTCTTCAGCAGGACTATTTGATATAGCCTGCACAGCTTGCCAGACGGCACTAGCTGCCTCAGCTTCAGCAGCTGATGCTTCCCTCAGTTTCTCCAAGGAATTTCTGTCCATGCTGATAAAATGAACACATATCAAGTTGTCATAAAATTTAAATAGCCTAAGCATGAGGACAGTGAAGTAGAAGTGTTGAGCTTCTAAAGAAGGAAGCAAAAAATGATATACCCAGAGCCACCAGATGACGGAATGTCTGATCCACCATCCAAATTTGGTGATGTCACATTATAATTGAAGTTAGATTTAGAAGAAACTCTCTCAGAAGAATTAATGTCGTGCTGCATTGGAGAATTTTCAGCAACTAAGAAATCATCTAGTAGTATATCTGCACAAGATAACATGGTTTTATCAGTATTGGTAAACAAAAAGACAAAATTTTGAAATATATACGAAACATCAATGCAAGACAAATAAAAATGTAAAATTATCACAACATTTGAATTCCATAATACAAATTGGAGGATTGTAACGCATTAATTCCTTCAATAGGCATTTGATTTCCTTCTACCTAACTAATGAATACTAAGAACTAATCAACTCATGGCATTATAGTGCATAGCCCAAATGTTTATAATGCAATCAACATTTTCAGAAAAAGGATATAGAAGAGCAATAAAGGCTAAGAAAAATAATTATGCTACTATATTTTCAAAACAATGACAATAATTTTTCAGCAAACCAGCACAAGTATATTACATGTGAAAACCTATTTTATGATGGCTCACTATAAGACAATCTTGCTTTCTATAATAATGATATGGAAATCAAATAGTTGTATGACTAAAGTCACTAAACATGGATAACTGAATTAGACCAATTTGCATCAATTTAATTGGTGCCAACCAGGTAGGACTTAAAGTGACCCAGGATTCTACATATTTCTTGCCAAGAAAGCATAGCTAGAGCCCACATATTTGCCAATAACCCTTAATGGGATGATTACACACACATATATATAGAAAAAAAATCAGTATATTAGTATGAAAGACTGCTTCGATGTTAGATTTCATCTTAAAACCAGTGTTGTAAAATAGCAGCCATAGCAGCGCTAATGCATTGAAGAATTCTTTGGATCCACAATATCAACTCTGTTGCAGTCTGCCTTGCACCAAAACAACTACTCTGGCCTCTTACAGTTTTTGAGAGATAGATGTGGGACTGCACAACTTTTACCCCATACGTGGTCCCGATGTCTCACTTTCCCCACTCACGTAAAACCTGTTAAACTTCTCCCATCCATATACCTCTGTTCATGGCTTCATGCAAGGATGAAGGAAGGAATCATCAACTCCTCTGTCAACTTTTGTTCACCTTCCCGTGCAACCTCTAGTCATCTTTGGCAAGTCTCTAGCGAAGAATATTTGAATTAATATTTTGTCAATGTTTCCACTTTCTATTAGCATACAACTCATTCTTTATGCACATATATTTATATGTAACATGGGCTAAATTACCCTTTTGGTCCCTCTATTTTTAATTTGTTAAATTTGGTCCCTCAATTATAAAAAATGTGAAGGTAATCCTCTAAATTCCATCTGTTTTTTTTTTACTATGCCTTTAGCTCGGCAGTGATGTGTCTATTTTCCATGAGTATGCTAACAAATAGAAGAACATTGTCTTTTTTACTATGCACATATTTTGGCAATTGTAAGACCAAATTCCAACTTGAAAAAAAAAATTAAAAAAAAATAGAGGAACCAATAGGGCAATAATATCACATATTTCAACTGCTATTTGCCCACAATGCTATCCAGTATGTGATATAGAGGATTCCACCATTTTCACAGTCTGCAATTGATAACACTGCTAAAAACAAATTAGCAATAAGTGAATTTGCCCAACATGTATATTAAAAACACCCTAATAATTGAGTTAGATAATGTGGGTTTCTAACACTCCCAACAACTACCTACTAGACCATGTGAGACACCAAAAAAAATGACAAAGATACCCTCTACAGACCATGGACATAATGGATATGGGTCATAGACTCTCACAAAAAGTTGTAGATTCCCTTGTAAATTTAATTGGCATTAAGTCAAGTTGTCCATGGGCATATAAGTCAGACCCTAACAATTCAGGCGGGTGATGTGGAACTAACCTCCATAGCTGCCTGTTAGACCAAGCAATACTCAACAAAAGACAACAAAGATCCCTTCATCCACAAACTTCGGAAACAATTGAGTTGAACTATAGGCTCTAATATCATATTAGATTCCCTCATAAATTCAATCTGCATTAAGAGAACTTGTCCATAGGTATGTAAATTGCATACTAATAATTGAGGCAAGCATTATGGGACATTCTAACAACCTAGTTCTCCTCCACAGATGCCTAGTAGACCCATTGATATAGCACAAAAAACGTCAAAGATACCATCAACAAACCATGTAAACAATGGATACAGCCTATAGGCTCCGATTGTCCTGTTAAACTCCACCTTAAAATTAATAGGCATTAAGCATAGTTGTTCGTAGATGTATAAAATGCACCATAATAATAGAAATATTGTGGGACTTTCCAAGAATGGCACCTTTGTTGTGCAAATCTTAATGACTAAATCCATTGGAATAAACACAAGAAAGAGCCAATCTATTCTTTTGTGCTTCACTGTTTTTGTAATAAATAAATGAATGTGTCATTCCATTTTTCAAGTCTTACTCAACTCTCAGATGTCTAATTATAACCACATCTCTCATAATGCAAGTACTTTCTAATACTTACCTCCTCTTAGCCCACCATAGATAAATATATGAGTACCAACTGCTGCTGCTGCATGGCGACATCGACGCATAAGCTCCAAAGAAGGATCATAATCATGACCTTTGTTTGAGCGTGAGGAGGACACAATGCCATTTCTGTCCAACCAAACCCCAGCAGCAGTGTCCAATACTGTCAAAGCAAGAAAAAGAAAACATAGGTATGGAGAGAAGGGGGAAATCTAAAAAACCATGGCAAGAAATACAGTAAAGAAACTGGTAATAAAATAGAAAAGCAAGTTACCTGCAATCGATGCTTCACCTTCCACAGACCGTCCACCCTTAAGAACACCTCCCGTAACATGTAATCGTGCACCAACAAAAACCTGATAGAATGAAATGCCCCATTCGATCAAAACAACAATCTTCAAAGCTGTTAGACTACCCAAAGGATATGTCTAGATATCATATAATTATACCAAAGAATATTTTGCCCTTCAAAGATTCTTAGATGATCTACGACAAATAAATTCCATATATATTAAATTAGGATTAGGAGTCTTCCACTAAAAGAAACAGAGGTTAGTACTTTATTTTTGCTATCACATCTTTCACAACAATATTGGTCAGAATAATCTCTTTTCCCCCCACCTTATCTAACCAGATACCTAAATTTTGAGCAAAAAGGAATGACTAAATTGGTCAAGATCAATTGATATCATTTTAGAATTAGAGAACTTTTACTCTAATATCAAGCCAGTGACCTCGTTTCAATCCAACATCTATGTCAAGAACTTTTTGAGGAATATAGAATTAAATAGGAAAGAGAAAAATGACTTTATACTCTTTGAAAAAGTTCAGTCTCTCTTTATTGCATGAGGACAAAATGATGATAAATAAAGAAAAGTAAATTAATTCAACTTTTGGAGAAGAAAAATAGTGTGAGAAAATGAAGTATGAGCAATAGAGTAATATTCCTAAAGATAGTATATTTTCCCAAATTCAATTTTTTTATCAACCATTCCTTTCTATCTACTTTCTCCTGTTTAGTGATATAAACCACAGTTAGCTTATTAGCATGTTGGACCATGCGAGTAAATGACTTAACTTTTAGGTGTGTCCGTATGAAAGATAGCCTTTTGGCAGGTATAAAATATAAAGCTTAGTTATCAATTTTGGGTGGTGGCAGAGCCCTTAAACTGCCATAGTTGGACTGCCGCTATTATCAATTTTCAATATATAAATTAAATAACTTATAGCATATACATGAATGCTACAAGAAAAAAGTACCCCATAATTAAGGTGAGACAGAAGTTAATAACAAGAGTCTAGTAATATAAAAGGACAGCAAGAAAGGGCAACATAAGGTTTCCTTTCAGAACAAAACAATGAAATAAGAAGGAATATAAAACAAAACATAAAATCCTTTTTATGTGAACAGAACAGACCCCAAAGGATGTGAACAGCATAGAGACCACAGATTGGATGAGCAAAAGTTCTACAGAGTGTGGATTGGTTGGAAATCCCCCAGAGTGCCACGTGCTAGCTGTAAATGCAGCTGAGAACTGAGTCAGGTGGTTTGCATTGAAGAGAGATGCCATGGGCTGGCTGGAAACGGAGCTGAGTCAGATGGTTTGCATTGAAGAGAAGAGACCATGATTATTTAGCCTTCAAAAAGAGTGATAGAGGGAAAATAGGGTTTGTTCTGATAAAATAAAATGGGTGCAAAATCCCAAGATATTCCCCCCCCCCCTCCAAACAGCACCAAACAACATTGTTTGAAGGGCCAAAAGGGGGTGGATTGAGTCTCTGATACAATAGAAATTGCAAGGGTCGCAATATCAACTATGATTCAAGGCACAACAGCAAGCGGTAATGCAACAGGATTTGACCAAGTGACCCATAGCCATATATGCTCCACAATGCCGCAATAGCACGCAATTGACTACTGTGGTATAGCGAGACCCCACAATGAAATTTAGAGCATTTTAATCATTAGATTGAACTTCAGGGTCAGTACACATACATACATGTCAAGATTAAGACATTAAATCAAATAATGTCACTTTTCAAAGTAATAATGCGAAAGACACAAGGAATCCTAGTGGAGAAAAAAATCATTTAAGAAATTCACAGTAGATCATATAAGAAATTACAGAAGGAATCAGTCACTTACTGCGGCATGTTGGTACCTTGGTGAGGGGGAAACTCCAGGTGCAAGGGTCCATTCCCACTGGCCATTCCTGTGCATGAGCAGCCCATAGGCATCTGCTAATGGCTGCAAAAGATCAATATAATATATGCTATTATATTTCAGTAAATATTGTCACCAGTACACTACAATTTAGCAATGCAAATGGAATGTTGTAAATCCAGTTATTATAGATTAGCACATTAAATTTTCTAAACAGAATATGATTATCAGATTAAAAGAATATTATCAATCATACAGCTCCAGAAGAGTCTCTTCCACCACAGAGTAAAAACATTCCATCTGAGCGGGCACTAGCAGTTGCATACCTATAAATTGAGGTAGAATATTGAGAAGTTACAATATATTCATATGTGTAGTAACAATGCAGACAGTTAAGGCTTCATATTAGCTGGGTTGATAGACAGACTTACATTCTCGCAGAAGGTCTGTCACCTTCTGGGTTCAGCTTCTGCCACACATAAGGTTTTTGAGCAGTATCCAAAGCCCAAGCATCAGATACAACTCTTTTCCCTGCCACATGGTATAAAAAATTAAACTATTTGTTATGTAGCACAAGACAACATACACTTTCATCACAGGAGTGTACAAAGGCATGCATTCTATATCCAGACAGATATAAGGAAAATAATTTCGAGAAATATACACTACCAACTCAACTGTATTTATTTTCAAAATTTTGAATTTGTTGAGATATGTTGTTTTTCTATCTTTTTGTATTCTCTGTGTATGTTACTTAGATTAGGGTTAAGGGTTTGGGCTAAGACTCATATTCTGTCTGTTGTATTTCCTTTATCTATAAATACAATGTAACAGTGCCTTCAGACACTATATTGAAACCCTAAATAAGTTTCTCAAGTGAATTCAAGTCAGATGAAGTTATTATGTAATAAGAACTGGATAAGTTAAACTTTTAACCGCCAAATTATTCATAATTATGTTGTGACTTTTCTTCAGTTTTTTCAGACATTCAACCTATTGAAGTATGGCAAACCTAGATCCAAAAGGAACTAATACACAAGGCATTCACAAGTGTGTTTAGGTACCATTGGGGAAATTCCAAGTCACGGTCTAGGTAAAAGCTCATCTTAGGCAGCTTTTGCCCAAAACATGATTTGAAGGTTCCCAACTGAAATTCAAAAACGTAGTAAGTCAAGCTCATCATTCATGTTATGCTCTACTATTTTGCAAACCCGACTGTTCCATCGATAAAGCCTATGCCTCCTCTTTTCTTTTTCAACAACTACAATATGACCAGTTATTTTACAAAAAATTGAAAAAATGACAACCCAGTAATTAATTTGTCTAACCGTCATTTCCACTGACAGTTACTAGATATCTCTGAGCAACCAAGTCCATTACATGGCCATAGCGAGGTCCAGGTCCTTGCCCTTGTACGACAACCCTAAAATTAAATCAATAGCACAATTGACTAATTGCACGATCTTGTCAAAATTCTAGACGTAGGGAAAAAGAAAAAACATGTCTATTTACAACCAACCTCACCTGTGCCATTTGTATTTATCATTGGTCAAGTCAAGCACGTAGAGATCATCAGTAGAATGCCCAGCGGGTCCTATCCCACCCTAGCCAAGCAGAATCAGTGAAACAAATGTTACGATGGCCAGACTAGTCAAGGACAACAACTCAATCCCCACAATTATTCTAAACCCTCACAATCACCTGGAAAACAACCATGGTGCCAACTGCAGCAGCGGCATGAGCAGCCCGAGGAGACGGTGGCTCTCCGGCAGGTTTAAGACTGAACTCACAGCAGCAAAGATCATTACTTCAACAGCTATTCATTGATGATTAATAAAATTTAAAAAATAAAACTGAAAACACATAAAACAGCTAAATTCAGAAAAAAAAATTGCGAAATCGGGAATCCACTCACCTGGTCCATTTTCTAGTTTGCACGTCATATGAATGAACAGTATTTGTGACTCCAGCTAACCCTGCAAAGTAAGAGCAGACAAGAGCAGCGAAATTCAGGCCACCAAAGTCGGAAAAGAAAGCAGATAGAGTGTTTGTGAAGGGACTGACTAATGCCGGGAGCGGAGGAAGATCCTCCTTCAATGGCAGTGGCGCCGCCAAACAAGATCAAGCGGGGACCCTGCGTTTTGGTGGCGGCAACTGCAGTGAGGGTGTGCCCACAGCGAGGGCCAGGCGCGTCCTCATCGGTGTCCCAGAAAGTTTCCAAAGTTCGATAGGTGGAAGCAGGGTAGAGCCACGGTTTCGACCCCATCGAAATCTCAGGAATTTCACGATCAGAGAGAAAGAGACAAGAACCCTAAGATGGAGCAGCTTTGGTGGCGGGCCCGGACTTCCTCCGGACCCGTTAAACCGTATAGTAGAGTAGAGTATAATACGGCCTCTCTTCTTGACCGTGTCTTATTTTCCAGATCAGGAAATTGATTAGAGGTAGGTAAAAGAGTGATGTTGGAGATGGAGAATTTGATTAATTGGAAGTGAGAGAGATTAGAATGAGGGTTTTGGTTTGGGGAGTAAAGGAGTTACAGAGCAAGGAGAGATGAGATGGTTATTTATGTTATACCAACATCACTCAAACACAAATACAAACACAAAGAAGGCATTGCGATTGAATGGCCCAAGTCAAAGTGCGGGTACAGCTTGTCATTTGTGAAATGGAAAGTGAATGTCAAAATGCATGACCATGACACCCCCAACTTCCGCAATTGCGGATATTTATACCATTTCTATTTGTATTGTACCACTACTCCCTCGTACTGGACAAAGGGACAAGTTTACTTCATGCCTCAGGCATCCAAGTTAGTTTCTTTCATGGCAGCTGAAACAGGCAATACAACCTATGATCGGGGAAATTCATTAAGGTAGGATTTACTTCACTTCCTGGCTCCACTTTTGTGCATTGTTGAAAAGGGTCTTTTTTTTTTCAGGTCCAAGAATAGGGTTGGGTTGTTGACCACCGAAAAGCCTGGGAGAAAGATGCATAACATATAAACGATCCTCAGACATGCAAGTTAGCTTTTTTCGGGTTCATCACATGATGCACTTAGCCTAGCCTCCACAATTATTGTCCTTTAATAATTTTATTTATTTTCGTCTTGAAAAGGACTTGCTGCTTCAATATCCTCTCCCTTGTTTCAGGAAAAATAGATTCTCTTTGTTTGGTCTTATCTTATTTATTCTCCTTCATCCTTTAAATAGAATTTCAGGACTTCATAAAAAATAAAAATAAAAAAAGATAAAGTTTTAATTAGGGTTGAGTTCTATGCCTACAAAACATGTTTAGCTAGATATGTCTTTTCATGACTTTATGGAGAACATCATATAGGGTGTTATTAATGCAAATTAGGATAAATGCTTTTTCTATATGCAAATTAGGGTGTTAATAAATCCTTCATTTGATGGTTACAAATCTTTTTTTTTTTTAGAAGTTTAGAAACTTTTTTTATTCAAACACAAGAATGGATATATTTTAATCCTTATTAATGAAGAAGGGTTTAAGAATAATGAAACAATAACATAACTACATCAACGTATTATGGTGACAGAGTCTGTGACGATCTGAGTCATGCATCTATCTTTTAAACATCAAAAAATACCAAATAAAAAATAAAAAAAATAAACTATTGATTATTTTTCTTCCTTTAAAAAGTAAGAATTTTTTATATTTTCAATTCTCAAAACATTAATATTTACTTATCCATAAAAATAATAGGAAATTGTATAAGAGATTAATAAAACAATCATTACTCTAAAAACGGATATATCGATTGGTTCAATAGAAAAATATTCTAAAAATTGATTTATTATTTTTAAATAACTAAATTTATTTAAATTGATATAAAATCAAAAAATTTGACTAAATTTTTAAATTGAATCGATTTAAAAAAAGTTAAAAATTAATTTTTTAATTTTTTTAATATAATTTGTTTAAAATAATATAACATTTTTTAGTTTTATTTCTTTCTTTATCTTATATTATATTATGTTAACACTAAACAATAATTATTTTATTGTGTTTTCATTTCATTTTATTTATTATTCATCTTATATTCTTTAATAATTTTTATGTTTACAATTAAATGTTATATTTATGATTTACGTTAATTAGGATAATAATTTTTACTGTTTTTTTTCTTTTATACAAAATTATTATTACTAAAATATTATTATCATTTCTTTTCTAATTTTTTAAATAGTATTTTTATATACATTTATATTTTAAAAATATTTAATACTTAATTTAGAAGGAAATAGAAGGATTTATAGAAAGATTTGTTGAAAAATATAACTCTTGGGATGTGGATGATAAAAGGATTTTTTAAAGATGTGTGAAACTTTCAATATGAAATCATGTATGGTAACTGTTCATGTAATAAATATTACATACGTTTTAAACTTTCAAAACATTAATATATTTACAATTTCAATAATTATCTTTTTACAAGAAATAGGATGATTAGTAGGAAGATATATATGGATTAAGAATAAAATAGGAAAAAAAATAAAAATAAAGGATAAATAGAATGAAAAAGATATATATATTTTCTTTTAGGTGAAAAAAATATATTATTTGCATATATAAAATAAAAATAAAGAAATATCAATTTTTTTCTATCCTTGTTTAAAATGAGAGGAAAAAAGAGAGAATATAATAAAATATAATATATAAGATATATTTTTATAATCAAATAAATAAATAAATAATCTTTCATGTCTCGGTAAATTTAAAAAAAAAGTATTATTATTATTCAATGAAAATATTTTATAAAAATTTTATTAAATTTTAAAAAATACTATATTATGTCTAAATAAAAACTAATAATTATTATTTAATAAAAATATTTTATAAAAATTTAATTAGATTTTAAACAATACTATATTATGTCTAAAGTCATGGAAAATTTACAAGTTTTTATTTATAATTTTTCTTTTAATAAACAAATAAATATTCAATATTTAAGATGATATCTTTTAATTGTAACTTTAATATTAATCTTATAGTTAAAATTAAAATTAAAATAATTTTAAATTTTTATATAATTATTTTTACTTTGCTTTTTTTTTTATAATAATCACATTTATAAGTATTTTATATTGATATGATTTAAGTTTTTTTATTTATTTTATAGTTATTTATTCATTTTGACCCATTTTTTATTAATTTTACTTAATTATTTTTTTGAGTTTTATTAAAAAAATTATGATTTTATAGGTAATGACACTCAATTTTGAAAATAAAAGAACTTTTGAATTATTTTTATAAATTCATACTAAGAGGTTAATTCTTGTTTTATTAGATTTCTTAATTTCAGATTTCAATTCTCATATACGAAACTTGAAATTTTGAGATTTTGAGGCTGAAATTATTTTTAATAAACTATAGAATTTAAGACAGAAATATTAAATTTGTGTATACGGAATCATAATAAGGAATCATAATAATGGACTTGTAAGTCTCGTTTCGACTCAACCATAATCTCATTCATTTTCACTTTTGAGAATGTCTTATAAATACTTTAGAAACTAAAAAAATATAAGAATTACACCAAAATTGCATGCATTAATTCAATCTTTGTTTTGCTTTTTCCAAATCTCTTTCTTCTCTCTTATTTTTGTTTTATATTTTGATTTTTCTGTTTGTAGGAATTGAGAATGTTTTCATAGAAGACTAAATTAACACTTTTTGAGTTTATTTTTTTTATTTAATTCTTAGAATGACATATTATATTTATGATTTATTTTGTTGTGTCCTAAAATTTAAATTAGATTTCGAATGAAGTTTAATTTGATAATCAATTATAAATTAAGTTGAACAGGATTTGATCCATTGTTTAAATTTAAATCAAAGTTTCATTATAAATTAAGTTGAACAGGATTTGATCCATTGACAAGTAGTAAATTTTTTACTTGTATTTTGATATATAAATGAATTTGAGATAAAATTTCTATAATAATTTAATGTATAGACTAGTTTGATGGTTTTAATATATTTTTTTTCTCGTCACACTTTAAACTATCATGAAATATTTATAAGTTTATCTTAAAAATATATTCATGAATAATTTATAAAGAAAATAAAAAAAAGTATAGAAAAGATCAAAATCAAAATACTAAAAAGTATCTAAAATGGAAACCTGATTATTATTTTTAAGTTTTTATTTATTTTTCTTTAACCCAATTTTAATTAATTTTGTTAGAATTGAGAAATGATGAAATTGTTTATTACATTTAAATATAATATTATATAGTTTATTTATATTTATAATTATTAATTAATAAATAATATATATACATACACGTGACGCATGTCTTTAAAATTGTTATAGATTTTATTATATTATATTTATTAAAGTATTATAATAAATTTATATTATAATTTTAATTATAAAATTATATAATTTAGTTATAATTATAAGAAAAAGTTGAAACTACATATGGATAGAGTTAAAAAAATTACGACATACTTATTTCTTTTAATTTTTATTATAAAATATTTAATATTTTTTAAATATTCAATAAGCTTATATTAATAACAAATTAAATTAAATTATAACCAAAAATATTTTTCACTGATCTTAATTACTTTTTGATAAAAAAATTAGATATAAGTGAAAAATATAAATGAGTATAATATGATATAATGTGTTAAAGTAGATTTACCTCAATAAAACAGTCTTAAAAGACTCAAAAGAATAAGTCAATTTAAAAAAAATTAGAAATTAATTTAAATTAATCAATTTTCGTAAAAATTGACAATATTATTTATTAATAAATTTATTATTCCCATTTATTTGAGATGTTATGATCATGATAATTTATTATTTTTAACTATTAAATTATTAAAAAAAATAATGATAACCAAAAAATAAGTCACTAATTTTTACATGAATAAATTTTTTATTTGATAATTTATATATTAAATTATTATAGTTGAAATAAAAATTAATTTTGGTAATATAACTTAAATTTTAAAGATATATTTTTTATTTTATTTAAAAAATTATTTTTTTGAATTAATTACTTGTATATTAATAGGTTATTAATTTATTATTTAATTTTTAATTATATCAAAATTAGTTCGTTAATTCAGATTAAATTTTTTTTTATTCAACTGCATAACGTATATGCATATACTAATACAGGTAAAAAAAAAACTAAGACGGATTTAAAAGAACAGTTTTATCCAAGACACATTCAACTATATATTAATTAAATTAATTGTATTTAAAAATAAATTTAAATTTTATCAAACAT